GTTGCTGTTGCTGCTGTTGTTGTTCTTGCCGTTGCTGTTGGTATTGGCCTTGCTTGTGGCTGTCGCTGTTGCTGCTGCTGCTGCTGCTGCTGCTGCTGTTGACAATGCTTTTAGCTATCGCTATTGCTGCTGCTGCTGTTGTTGCTGTTTTGGTTGCTGCTGCAATTGCTGCTATTGCTGTACGGATAGTCTGAATCTTATTACGAAGCGTGCTACACTCTCAGCTCCCGAGACAGCCCTAAAGCCTACACCCTCTCAACTCAAAATCCTTTGAGCGTCAAGCAATAGCAGAAGCGTTTCATAAGGCGTTTATAGGGCTTTATGAGGTGTCTTCGGGTTAGGGGGTCATATGATTTCATAATGGTTTTGAGCTTTATAAAATCCCGTATCGGAACCTTTACTGGACCTTTGTTGCAACCCCTATTCAGGCAAGGAAGCCTTTGAAAACTTCGCACTGCAACAACTCTTCAGGCAACGACATCACCAAAACCCTGCACAACCCCTTATACACCCTTGTGAAAATCCCTGTGAGACTGCTCGCCTACGAGGACCTCCGCTGTCGGCGCTTCTGCGGCGACTTTGAAGGCACCTCCGTCGGTCCCGTCGACGCTTGCAAAGGCCCATCTGCCTGCACTGTAAATGGGAGTTTCCGAAAATTAGGGGTACCTTATTATTTTGGGGTCCTTATAATAGGGATCCTACTATTTAGGGTACTATCTATATTAGGGTCCCCTATTTTCGGAAGCTCCCATGTCTATTGTGTTACTCGTACTATGTTTTGGTTTTAACTCTGTGGTTTAGGGCTTGGACTCTAGGCCTTGCTTCCAAGCCCCAGGTTGCAAAATCCGTTTGCCAAACACTGGGCGTGAAGATGGATGGCGAGCCAGCTGCCAGGCTGGTCCAGAAAAGAGCCCAGCTTTCGGAATTCGGAATCGCTTCTTTTACCCCAAATGCTTGCCTTCGAGACCGGCTACGAAGCTGCTGCTCCAGCTTCTACGGCTCGGTCGTGCATACGGCCTGAGGCATCGGCTTTGTCTAAACATGTTTAGTTTGAAGCCTGTGCTAGTCGGCTGTTGGCAGGTATCCCCGAGGCTTGCCACGAAAAGAGGTGCAATGGACTTACATGCGGCATGTGTGTTCATGCAGTTAAACCGAGGACGAACCTCTGGTCTTTTTGAAGTGGGAGACGAGAAGCGCGCAGCCCGACGAGGCAAGAGCACAAAAGTGGATTGCTGAAGGTCGAAGTTCCTGTGGACCAGGACCACACGAGACTCCCAGTCACACGACCAGATGGCTCAGCTTTAGTTCGCAATCTAGTGACAAGCGGGAGGTGTTTGCTCAGTGCGTGGACGCGGGTCCACGTCCGAGGAGGCTCTGCCATGGACTCAGCCAAAGACTTGTGCTTTTTGCGCTTTCATATGTTTTTGTGTAAACTAGCAGGCACACGGAGGTCTTGGCTGGTGCAAGCCTGCCTGTTCCTAAGCGCTCAGGCGTGATAGCAATAGCTTCACGAGAGCACATGGCTTTCGCTGAGGCATCTCACTGTTGTGCCTGTTGTCATGCCAAGAGGCGCGCGGAGCCTCCAGTAACTAAAAGGTACCTGTCAGGATGCTGTCGGGTATCGCCTCCCCGCATTCGAACAGGTATTTTGCGTTCCAGGTGGTGCCACAGAAGCTGTCCCGCACTCTGATTCTTTTCTGGGCTCGGTGGGATGTTGGAGCCTTGATCCATTGGTTGAAGCCGAGGTCTTGAAGTGGAGACATTATATTCTTGGCTCAGTTCATGCAGCGGTTCAGGCAGCGCAAGTGCAAGATGAGTGGCCCAGCAAGCATACCTCTGAGAGCGATTGGAGGAAGCGTTGCTCAATGCGTTGCATCGGCTGCCGTTCGGCAAGGGCATCATCCGAGAGGTCCCTGTCCCGGGAGCTTGAAGCGAGCGTCCGCCACCCCAAACCAGTCCGAGGAGCTGCCGCTCTACATAGACACTTTGCTCGAGCCGGAATCTCAACAGTCCTACGGTTTTGGGAGCCTTTTGAGCTCATCGCAGGTTCCGTGCAGAGCTGGTCGCCTTGGGGGATGCTGACGAAGGCCACAACTTCCCAGCTGCACCCGTTTGAGCAAGCGGACAGTCCATTTTTGATGGCAGGGAGTGATCTGGAAGTGGCCCTGCTGCCACGGTTGCCTTCTGCCTGGCGACTGTCTTGCTTTTACCACGTCGTGGCAGGATAAGCAGAACGAAAAGCGCGTTCTGAATGCCTCTCGGCTTGTGCAACCTCCATCGTATGACGTGGCATGGTGTAGTATGGTATGGCATAACATAGGACAAGATACTGTAATGCTTTCTAGCTTGATAAAGCGGTATTCTTCACGCTGTTCTGTTCTGTTCTGCTCTGCTCTGCTTGCTGTGCGCTACTCGACTCTATTCCACTCTACTCTACTCTAGGCTACGCTACGCTGCGCTACTCTACTCTGCTCGACTCGACTCGACTCTACTCTACTATCCTACTCGACTCCTACTCTACTCCTACGCTACCTCTGCCCCACTCTTTTTTTATTCTTATACTCTACTCCTACTCTACTCCTACTCTACTCCTACGCTACTCTCCTCTACTACACACTATTTTATACGATTCCTCCACTCTGCTCTACTTTACTCTACTACACTATTCTATGCTATTCTATGCTGTCCTAGACTTTTCTATATTGTTCTGTACTGTTCTATATGTTATACTACTCTATACCTCTTTTCAATACCACTTTTCTGTACGGTTCTATACTATTCTATACTGTCCTATATTGTTCTATGCTATTCTATATAGTCCTTTGCTATTCTTTACTTGTCTATACTGTTCTATACTCTATACTATTCTATACTTTTTAATACTGTTCTATACTGTTCTAAACAATTCTATACTGTTCTATACCGTTCCATACTAGTCTTTACCATGCTATACTGTTCTATACTATACAATCTATACCTTTCAATACTATTCCATACTGTTCTATACTACTCTACTCTATTCTGTACTACCTATACCGTTCTATACTCTTCTATACTGTTCTTTACTTTGTACTTTTTGCCGTATTATATACACTGTATGCAATAGTCCACATCCAATATACAATATACTTTTTGACCGTATACCACATACCATGAACAATATACTATATACTGTTTACTATCTACTACGTATACGATATACGATATACAATAAACTATGTAATCAATGGTGCATGCTTTTTGCTATAAACTATTTACTATAAACGATACACTATATGCTATATACCATATACGATATACTATACTATACTATGCTATACTATACTATACTATACTATACTACACTATACTGTACCATACCATAAGATGCTGCACTATATTGCATTAGGTTTTGATTTATGACTGTATTGATGCATCCTTCATCCATACATATATATATATGTCTATATATGAAATAGAGTATACATATGTGTTTGCTCGTATGTATGTATGTATGTATGTATGTATGTATGTATGTATGTATGTATGTTAGTATTTATATATGTATGTGTGTGTATATATATATATATATATGTGTGTATCGTATCACTATCACATCTCGGTATCTGCTTATGTGTGAACGTATTTATGTACGTACGCATGCAGGTATGGATTTATGGATGCTCTGAGGCCCGGTACTTGAAGAGGCCAAAGGCCAAGCCACAGCAGAGCGAAGGCAAAGGAAGGAAGACGAGTGAGGCTCAGGCCGAATCCAGCGAAGCCGAAGAGGCAGAAACCACGGAGGCATTCTGAGAAAGACCCAGAAGGATGAGAACAAGGAAGAGCAGATCTCCAACGAGCGGGACTCCTCCCTCGGTCAGACGAGCGAAGGGTCGTGAAGGTGCGGTGCGAGCAGACTGGAGGAGCTTGAGCGAGTCCTGAAGTGGGTGGACGTCTTCCGAGAACCGCTTCTGAGCGCCCGGCCGGCGTAGACCTTCTGCAGAAGGATGCCTCTGACACTTCCTGAAACCAAGGTCATTTCCTGTACGCCTGCGGGGTGCGTTGCTGTGACGGCTGCGGGGCAAAATGCTGGAGTGCCTGCACCACTTTGCCCAGCTCCGGTCCATCTCTTTGGAACCCCACGGGTATCCTGCAGCCCCTGAGCCCATCGCAGGCGACAGTCTGAACGGCCGGTGTCTACCTCCATGGCCCCCAGGCCCGGCCTGCAAGTAGCAGTGACTTCAGCTCTGAATGCTCTGAGCTCCGACCCACGGTCACCGGGAGTCTCTAAGTGTCGCTTTCAGGTTCTCGGGGCCTTGGGCCGAGGAGGCACCAGGCCTGGAAGCCCAGCCTTCAAAGGGGCAGCGTAGAGTGGCATTGTAGCGTTCTAGCGACATCGTGTCACGGAAGGACTGGACCCTGAGAGCAGTGGCCTCACGGAGCTCGAGGACGGCCCTTGGCGTGTCTTCTGGGTGCTGTTTCCCAGACATCTCGACGCAGCAGACGCATACCGCAGGGTTAAGATTCATGCAATCATATAAACTGTATGTATGTATGATTATGTATGCATGCATGTATGAATGCATATATGCATGCCTGTATGTATGTATGTATGTATGTATGTATGTATGTATGTATGTATGTATGGCATTGACTTGTTACATGCAAGTTTTCTTATTCCTGCGTATAGAGTGAAACAAACATACGCAAGTCCGGGACTGCGGAAAGCTGGTGTGCCACTGCATGCCGCCGCAGCACAATACTCTTGGACTCATACTTTCAACCCTGCCGAGTGGGACGGATGCACTCCAGTCTGACACAGCTCTGCCCAGCATCAGTATGTTGGTTTGCTCTTGGAAGTGGATCTGGGCAAGACGGACAAGGTGATGTCGCGCACAGTTTCAATCACTCAGTCAGACAGTCAGGCAACCAACCAACCAACCGACCAACCAACCAATCAATCAGCACATCACACCAGCAGAAAGTGAGCAAAGGCACTTGATTGCATGCACCATTAAGATTGATTGTTAGCATCCGGCCCGAATCCGCGTCTCTGCAGTTGATCTGTGCGGCCTTCTGGCAGCGACTGGTCCTTGTTCGCCAGGTGCTCCAATCACAGCTGGCGAAGCGCATCTCGGTCGTTGTGGACCCACATTCCGTCAAGGCATTGCCTTGCGACAAGAGCATTCTTGGATGTGTCAGGAGAACGGATCCGTGGAGAAGTTCAAGCCGAAGGCACACCGCTAGGCTGCACTCCAGGCTGCAGAAGCAGAGGCAAAGGCAGAGGCGCCCAGCCCAGGGCTCTCTTTTCCGCCGGGGGACTTTTGTTGCGCAGGAGGCGCAGGCGCCCAACTTGGCTTCTGCTTCGGCGACCTTGGCCCAGGCGCAGGAGGGCGCCCGCCGCCGAGATGAGACGAGCGACGCGCGAACCAACGAAGCTGCCTTGTCTTCAGCCTGCAGTGGGCTCCGCGCCGGTCTTTCCGCTCAGATGACCATTGCCTGGCCCGTGGTGCCTCCTATACCAGAAGGCGCGTCGCGAGCACACGCGCAACTCGCGGGGCAGTTCAGTTCGGCGTGATGTTCCTTTGCGAGCCACCCTGTCTATGTCAGACAGCTGTAGCAGCTATGGACATATACCTACTCCTCCTCGTCCTCCTCCTTAATTTCACGCTCAATCAGAGTAAGATAGATGAGTAGGTCCCTTTTTCTGAGTCACGACTCCTGAACCGCAGGCGAGGAGGACCGGTTGAAGCGAGACTTCCAGCTGCAAAGGCGGGGAAGACGGTGCCGAATATGCGTGATCCAAGTCAACCTGACACAGATAGTATCAGGAGTTTCCTCAGTCCTTTCAAGAGAGCACCATGCCAGGATCTTGACAAGTGCAACTATGGAAACCAACAACACACAGCTTTACATGCGATGATCATTTAATCGTGAGGAACCGCTACAGGCATCCTAAATGGCGTTTATACCCTTTACAAGGACGAGGACCGAAAATAAATCCTCAGCATTCGGATCCATTAATCAGAAGGATCCCAAAACAGGCGCACAACAAACACTAAGCCGCCTAAGCCCCGAACTCCAAAGCCCAAACCCCAAACCCTAAACCGAAACCCCAACCCAACAGCCCCAACAAGCCTAAGCCCTGAACCATACAGAAGGACTGTTGTGAGGTGGAGTTTTTGCAAGTATTCAGGCGTCGGATGTTTGAGCTGTGGCCAGACCCTAAACCCATCCCTAAACCCTAAACCTAAACCCTAAACCCTAAACCCATCACGCCAAGAAACTCGCAGGTCACCGGTCAGACCATCGAGTTGGCTCCGGGAGTTGCAGGTTGGAGGATTAGCAGCACGTTGCACAGGGATTTTCGGTTTAAGGGTTTCGGGGTTTAGGAGTTTAGGGTTTACGGGTTTGGGAGTTTGAGGGGTGCCGGGGTTCAGGGGTTTGGCGTTTAGGGTTTAGGGGCTTACTGTCTTGTTAAGAAACTGTCAACGATAGGGTTCCTTCAGAACTCAGTTAAAAGGCTGTCTCAGGGGGAGTGTTAACAGTTAGGATCCTGTTTCATGTTAGGAATCCTTTGCAAGGGGATTTTGGATTCAGGATCTTACGCTGCATGGGGTTTGATAGTCAGGGTCCATGGGGGTGGTGTCCCGCTGGGAGGATTGCAGACGAAGTAGTTCCTCATTGGAGTATTTTGTAGGAAGGTTCCAATGATGTAGGGGCTTCGTTTTGAGGATCCTACGAGTTCGAGACAAGAACACCGAATTTATTGAAACTCCCATACGTGCGGGTGATTCCTACATCTTGACGCGGGGGGGATTTAAGTCAAGAGCAGGCAGCGAAGGGAGGGAATTGAACGAACATGAACATGGAAGCACCCCGTGGCCGTAGCCCGTAGAACCTTTCGCTCCTCTCGGAGGCCTCCTGGGCCGCCGGGGCTGCGGCTGCCCGCGCGGAGCGCGAGCACACGGAGCCGGCGCCGTCGTGGCCAGCGTCGCGGCCGGAGACCCGGCCGCCCGAGGAAGCGACGTCAAAGGCCATGGTGCGCACTACAGATTGGGGACGGTTTTGAGAGCGAGGGCAAGGGTCCTTCGGTTCTGGTCTGCATGGAGGGTTTTTTGCCTTTGGAGAGATAGGCTCGGAGCACTGACGGCGGTGCAGGTGCAGATCGCCGAGCCGGTCACGGCAAAGGACACAGGTGAAAGCGCAACAGTGTGAGACCGGTGGATCTGGGTGTGGCTAGCATCGTGCCAGGAGTAGTCCCTCTTGTGCTCACACCGACCTACTTTCATTTCAGGCAAGTGCTTCAGCTTGTGACTTGCGCGCTTTTGGTCTTGGTTAAGCTGTTTGCAGGAGCGATACCTGAAAGGACTTCCTTTCGTTTCAAGCGGCGGACGAATAACGTGGTAGCTTGAAGCCGATGTGGCAGTCAATGTTTGTGTACATGAAACATGCAGCTGAAGCCCTGGGCAAAGCCTGAGAGCTTTTGAAAGACTCTTCTGCATCAGCTTCGAATAACCCTCATCCCTTCGTGAGCTAACAACTAAACTTCTTGGGGTAGCACAGGATATGCGAATTTCGCACATCCAGGTGGGAATATGTAAACATTGCGCAGTTTGCTGACGACTACTCGCCCATTGCAGCAGATGCCCAGAAGTGTCTGCAAGTGCCAATGACCTCTGCCACCATCTGCTTGTGTCGGTGCGGAAAGACGGGGCTTTGACTCATCATGTGCTTACGAATTCATGTCGTCGTGTGAGTCAGCCTTTTCCCATTGCCACGCGGATAGAGAGGCTTCAAGGTAACGCCCATGTCAGTATGCAATTAGCCTCTGGCTTAAAAAAACTCTATCATGTAGGGCACAGTGGGCACAGTTGTGCCTGTGACGAAGTCTCCGACATGTTATCTTCAGACCACTTCCTACGGCAATCCGAACAACGAGGCCAGGCTCCAGCCTACCGATAAACCCGAAAAACCCTAAAATCCTAAATCCATACACCCGAATTCTGTCAGCGTTCAGCTTAGGCCTCTCCTGCCTTCGTGGCCTGGACTTGAGCCCTGATACATCTCCCTGCGGTCTTTTTCGGAACCTTCTGCGCTGTGCTGTTTGCATCGATCTCAGATGCATACAGGTTCCTCCAAACGAAACCTCCTCAGCCTGAACTTGCAACGAACTGATCTGCTCGTCCTTTCGGCGCCGAAATGCCCAAGAAGCGACCGCTCATCAGTTTAATTACTGTGCAGAGCCTTCGTTGTGTCGAGCCGCGGCTTTGAGTCGTTAATCGGGAGACTTCGCTACATCCTTGCCCGGCCTGCCCCGTTGCCGTAGCGGCTGTGTTGCATCCTTACTTGCGGCTTGATTCTATCAGCCACTTATGAGCGTTTCATAGAATAAGGCACCTTAGGGGTCCTTAGCCTTCTGTTGTGAGCTTAGCTAGCCGTCCTCTATTTTCTGAACTCCTTGACGTTTTTTGAACTGGCTGCCCTCAACTGGTTGAGACATTCCGCTTGCACATATGAACATAATTTGGTTTTGTTTGGAACTCAGTGTGCAGTCATGTTTCTAACTTCCTGCAACACCTTCTCTTTCGGAATTTTTCAGGCTCAAGGCTAGACAGCGTAGTCGAACATCCATCGCCAGGGTGGTCTGTGACTTGGTTGGAACGGCAGGTGGATGTGGGGGTTTCAGAAAGTTGCTGGTTCGTCTTTTCGGGGAACCTTTCACCCTGGCCCGGCATCTGAGGCTCCGTTTTTCACATCCGCAGGCGACGCTCAATCCGCCACTCGTTGGTTGTTCATAAAGGGTTTAGGGCTTAGGGCCTTGTCGACGTCAAGAACACAATGTGAAGACTGCAAGCATGTCTCTCCTGCTGTAGGGTCCTTTGACGAGAGGATCCTGGAATTCGAGCTGTATACATATATTGAAAGACACACACACACACACACGCATACAATATAGGTTATATATATATATATATACATACATACATACTTCTTCCTCCGCCGCGAGAGAGTGTCTCACGTTGCGTCCATGGGCAGCTCAGTGGCTGGCAGCTAGTGCATGCTTTTAAAGCACCCCGCACTCCAGAAGTTCTGAAAGGACTTGCTTCGGCACAAAAGGAAACAAGACAGTAACTAAGGAAGTACAATAGGTAACGCCGAAAATACACAACGAAGAGCCTGCCCGGCGTGATTCGCCCCATAAGCGGCAGGCGTCCAATCAGAAGATCTAAAGCAGGATTTTCCTGCTCTTAAAAGCTCTCATCCGAGGAAAACTACAGTCGCTGCAGAAAGAAAATATAGGAATTATCTAGGACCTCCGCACTTTGGGCTTCAGAAGGCTCCTGCGGGAGCTGATGATCGTCTGTGACAAGCCTGATGTCGCCTTCTTTCAACAGCGCAGCTCTGTAATGGCCGCTTGTTCGGGATTGGCCTATATGATAAACTATGGCTACAACCTG